CCACTCTGCCTGTCAAAAAAAAAAAAAAAAAAAAAAAAAAAAAAAAGACATGGGCGCCTTCGATGCATAGAAAAGAAGCCATTCTGAAAAGGCTCACACAAAGTGTGATATCAGCTCTGTGCCATTCTGGAAAGGGCAGTACTCCGGGGACAGTAAATGGCTCAGAGGTAGCCAGGGATTGGGGGAGGGAAGGCGGAGGGTAGGCAGCAGAATACATCAGTGAAGCTACTGCACGTGGTGCTGTAGGGGTGGTGAATGATGATTGTCACGGAAGCCTTCCCTGTGCGTAGCTCCAAGCGTGAACCCTGATGAGAAATGTGGCCTTTGGGGGTCACGTGTCAGGACCAGCCATTGCACCAAGTGGGCCTCTGTGGTGGGGATGCGGATCGTGGGGGAGGCCGTGCAGGAGTGGAGACAGTAGGCGGACAGAGTGCTTCTGTTCCTTCCTCTGAATCTCACTCGAGCCTACGACTGCTCTACATACATGACGGAGCTGATCCACCTGAGCACGGCCATTCCCATTCATTTTAGTGCTTAGTGGCTAAAAATGCACTTCCGGGTGGAATGAAATTCAGCCGCTCACACACTTAGTCGCGGAAGCACCTCCACAGAATCCCAGGGTTCCACAGGACACCGTGTGGAAATAGCTGAGCCCCTTCTCCAGCTTCAGGTGGGCAGTGTCCTCCAGGGACAAGGAGCTTCCGTCTTTGCAAGGCAGCCCCTGAATCCGCCAGGCAGCTGTCATTCTTAGATCTTTATGTCATGAAGCTCCTGGACGGTGGTCCCAGTGCTGGCACCTGCAGCCGCTGGCGTGGCATCACTGGCGTGGCAGCAGCTGGCTGGCGTGTTCACTCATAGTCTTCTCTGCCCTCACCCATCGCGTCTCCTCAACTGTGTATTCCCCGTGTGGCCCGTGTACACATTGCCCGACTGCCCATCTCTGAGTGTTCTCCCTCTGTCGGGGACTCCCTGGGAAGGTCTGAAGATGCCCACGTGCTTCCTCCCTCCTGCAGGGCTATCCCTGTGCAGATAACACCGTGACCTTGATCCAGTGCCCCACTGATGAATGCTGGCGGTTTTCCCATCTCTTGCTTTTATGACGATGCAGTGGGAAATGCAGGTGCACATGTGGTTTCATAGGTCTGTAGGAGAACTTTGGAGAACGGGAGCAGTGAGACGGAAGGGTATGGGTGTATGGAATTGTATCAAGTATTGCCTGATTGCTTCTGTAGCATCCGTCTCACTTTCCCTCTTGTCAGAAGTCTCTTTCCCACGCCATCTCCAGTGCAGTCTGTTACTCTAACCTTCGGATCTTTTTGAATCTGCGAAGTGGTGTCTCACTTCAATTTTAACCTGCGTTTCTCTTCATTCTGCGAGAAGGTGTGCATTTTTATATTTTTAAGAGCCATCTCCCCTTCCCTTCTCTGGATGCTTTGTAGTTCTAAAAATGCATAACAAAAAGGCAAACAAAGGTAAGGGACAGGTGTTTGGTGCAGTGGTTAAGACACTGCTTGGGATGCTTGCATCCCATACTGGAGTGCCTGGTTCAAGTGCCAGCTATTCCACTTCCAGTCCAGCTCCCTGCCATTGTGTGCGCTGAGAGGAAATAGCAGCAGGTGGTGGTTGAAGTGCTTGGGTCCCTGGCACTTACATGGGAGTTCCCAGCTTCTGCCTGGCCCAGCCCCAGCTGTTGAAGGCATTAGGGGGAGTGAACCAGCAGATGGAAGAAGGAAGATCTCTCTCTGTCTCTCTGTCTTTTCAAATGAAATGGAAAAGATAAAATACTTTATGTTAGTGATGGGGTTTGGGCCACAGAGTGTGCTAGATACTCAAGTGTGCCCTTCCAGTCTGGAAAGTTTTGTCCTATCTAAAAGGTTCATCCTGTATTTATTATCTCTCTTGTTTTCTCTGGAACTGCTTTCATTTTCATTTTTTAAATCAGCTTTGAGGGTTTTTTTTTTCCCCCAATTTCTCATCCTTTCATTTGCCTTTTAAAAAAAATCTTGGCAATGGTGAACACATGTCATTATATCTTTTCCAGACCCTTAGAATTCAAAAAGACCCTTGGAATGTACCCTTAGAATGTTACGATAATGATGTCCCTGTCATCCATTGGAACAGTTGCGCCCCTCTGGTGGGGGATGTTGGTGGGGGTGGGGCAGGGAGTATTTGGCCGCTCCATCCTCTCTGCTCAGTGTTCCTGTCACCCCAGAACTGCCTCACAAAGTCTGTTTTAAAGGGAAAGCGTCTGGCCATCATGTTCTTAGTTTCTAGTGGGGTCTGAATGTTCTAGAAACGTAGTCCCCAGTGCAGCAGTGTTGAGAGGTGGGCCCTTTCAGAGATGGCTGGTTTCCGAAGAATTGGCTGGCCCTCCAGAGTGGGCTGAGGGCAGGTTGGTTATCCCAGGAGTGGGTTCCTGATGAAGGGAGGAGCGTGGCGCCCAGCACTTGTACACAGGCAGTGGGTGACCTCCTGCCTTCTCACCTGCCCCGGGATGCTGCTCTAGAAAGGCTCTCGGCAGATTAGCAGCCCTGGGCTTCCCAGCCTCCAGAGCCCAGGTGTGACCTTCTAGCGTTACAAAACTGTCAATACTGTCTCTGAGCTACCCGTTTTTCTCTGATTTGCCCTTTTTATAAACTTGCTCTTTTCTCTTTTGGTTTCATGGATATAATATCATCTTGAATAGAAAGTAGAATTCTTTTGAATGATTTATTTATTCGTTGGAGAGAGAGAGAGAGCCATTAGCAGAGAGCTGGATGGGAAGTGGAGTGGCTGGTACTTGAACAGATGTCCGTATGGGATGCCAGTATGGCAAGTGGCAGCTTAACCCACCACAGCACTGCCCCCAAAATGGAACTTCCTACGTGTTCCCTACTCTTCCTGAGTCTTTTGTATCCCAGGGCTCTGGGTGGGTAGTGCAGGCCTGCTGGCCAGCGTGCTGCTTGGTTTGAGCTGATGGCGAGCCCGCTGCTTCGGGGAACCCTGAGTTCACAGCAGGAGAGGACCCTTGTTCTAGCTCAGCGGCCTTTGCCACGACTGATGAAGTCCATCTCGTTCATTCAGGTTCCCTCTCATATGTGGACTGGGAAGAGTTGTAGCCAGGGTCGACTGCCCTGTGTACCATGTTCAGTGTGGAGAGGTTTGAAGGGAAGGTTCCGACTGGTTCCCCGTGGGACTTCAAATGAGTCTTGTTTTCTGCCTTGTGTCCCAGGCCTGCCCTGACAGAACCAGATGTGCCCAGCTGGAGCCATGGTCCCCCCACGCATCAGACCCACTGTGCTGCTCTGGGTGTCCCTTCCCGAGCTCTGTGCTGTTGCAGGCCCATCTTGGTAGTCTGTGTGCAGTTTCCGGGTTGTCTTGGGAGGGAACTCACAGGTCACCTGCCAGCCTTGCCATCCAGAGCACCTCAGCCTATGCTCGCCTGCTCTTCCGTCCCATCTCCCTGGGACATCTGTCTTCTCCAGCTCTTTAGTTTGTTTATAAAAATAATAGACTTTGGCCTGGGCAGTGTCCTGACCAAGCGCTCAGAACCAAAGAACCTTCTGAGCCTTTTGATTTTCTGTTACTCCTCTACTGTTCAGTACTCTTCAGAGTGTTCCTCCATTCATTCTGAGGGAAGATTTCCTTTTTAAAAATGTGTCTATCTGTTTTTGAAAAGCAGAGAGACGAGAGAAAGATCTTCCATCCTCTGGTTCAGTACCCAGCTGATCCAGGCCAAAGCCAGGAGCCAGAAACTCCCCAGCCAGGTCTCCCTCCCAGGTGGGTGGCAGGGACCCGTGTACTTTAGCCCTCTCACCTGCTGCCTTCCAGGGTGCACGTTTGCAGGCAGCTGGGTGGGAAGTGGAGGTCGGCTGGAACCCGGGCTCTGTACCGTGACATGCAGGCACTCCCAGCTGTGTCTGAGCCACTGTCCCAGACACCCACCCGCCCCGGGCGGGGAGCGATCTCTCCTTCCTGGTTGGTTTGCAGAAGCTGGAGTTCGTCAGGAAGCCTCGTCAGGGGTGTATTCTCCTGGCAAAGATTCCATCCGGTGGAAACGGCCCAGTGGTAGTGTTGGTGTTCCTGACCTGCCCACCCTCTCGAGGTGGCGGCCACGTGCAGGGCAGAAAGCAGGTGCAAGGATTTGCCACGGTCCTATCTCGGTGGCTTTAGCTTGGTTGTCTTTCGCTTTGGGTTCAGTTTTGGTTTTGTTGCTAAACCACAATGAAAAGGATTGGGGTTAGGGTCTTAATTTCCTGAGTTTATTTAGGTACATTCCCATGGTAACTATTATAGGGAAGTTTTACAAACAGGCATCATTGAAAGTAATAGTTTTGAGTAAGTTTTTTACTAAGATTATATGTCACAGTGCCAGTGTTGTGGCACAGCTGGTTAAACTGCTGCCTGTGCCATTGGCATCCCACATGGAGTGCCAGTTAGAATCTCACCTGCTCTACTTCCAATCCAGCTTCCTGTTAATGCACCTGGGAGACAGTGCATTATGGCCCAAGTACTTGGGTTTCTGCCATCCATATGGAAGACCTGGATGGAGTTCCTGGCTCCTGACTTCAGCCTGGCCCAACCTTGGCTGCCATGGCCATTTGGGGAGTGAACCAGTGGGTGGAAGATCTCTCTCACTGTCTCTCCATCTCTTTCTCTCTCTCTCTGTAACTCTTGCCTTTCAAATAAATAAAATAAGTCTTTAGGAAAAAAAGATTTTATTTCTCAGTGCATCTGATGGTTTGGCAGTTCATTTTTTAATTTTAAAGTGGTGACAGTTGCAGGTATTCTGAAATAGACTAAGTGTAATTACCTTCATTCAGATACTGAATGTGGGAACATCATCTCATTTGCATGTGTAAGGAGGACCACCCTGTGCATCTTCTTGACAACACTAATGGCAGTGGTGATGTTTTCATTTCTCTGAGCTTGTTCACAGAAACGTAAAAGTAATTACGGTTGCTTACGAAGATGCGCTTTGCATACACTTGAAGATTATATCTTATCTTTTTAAAAAACAGGAGCAGATGTCTCAAGTGTTAGATGCCATGTTTGAAAAACTGGTCAAGGAAGGGGAGCATGTCATCGACCAAGGCGACGATGGGGACAACTTTTACGTCATCGACAGGTGAGTCCCACCGGCCTCACGACTGCCAGTCAAGGAACCTTTTGTGTAAAATCTGAGCAGTTACCAAGACAGCTGCCAAGTTGGTGGGTGGCAGTCGCTGTTCCCTCTTTACCCTCTGCTGCATTCCAGGCTCTGTAAGCTGTGTGAGTGCATGCGGTGAAACCACAGCAGAGCGTGAAGGAGGCCTGGTTTGGGTAGGAGTTGGTGGATGTTGGTTAATTTAACCTGTAAATCTCAGTCACTCAGTGTGCACATCTGATTGTTGCTAAATTATGAGAGAATGGTATGTACTAGCATCCGTGGTCGTAGGTACTAATTAGAGAACAGAAACTTAATACAGCAACAGCTAGAATGTTAACTCACAGTGTAACTCTGTATGTGTTATGTTTTTAAGAAGCTTCTTTTTTTATTAACTGTGAAAATAAAGCATAATTTTAAACAATACAGTTCTTAGGAAGGGCAGGCTTAAGGTGAAGAGTTAAGCCATTTTTCTCAACGCTTCTGCCTCATCCATACACCATAGTGCATCTGGATGTATCCTTCCAGAAATTGCTTGTGCATTATTATATCTGTCTTTGAAAACTCTGTGGAGGGGTTATTATAGTTAGATGAGAAGGCATGCATGTATATTGGAAACCTGACTTCAGAAACCCGAAGTCATGCTTCAAGCCATCCAAGAACGATGCACCTGTGCGATAAACAGAGGAGTCCCAAGGGAGACCCAAGCCTCTGTTTCCTCATCTTAGTGAAACAGTGATGAGTGTTCGCAGGACCGCTGGCCTCCGGCCTGGTTTGCTGGATTGCGTTTGTCCTCTGCGTAGATGTGTGTTCAGCTCCGAGGCCTCGGTGGCAGCCCTGGGGCAGCGTCTTTTATGCATGAGTGTGTGCTCTGTGAATCCAGGGTCGCCTCATGACCCTGGTGACCTGTAGCTCCGGCACCAGCCTGGACCTTGGAACAGAGCAAAGCCAGTTACCCCACAAGTAACTCCAAGGCATGGCTCCGGTGTCACCGACAGCTTTCATCCCCTGAGCCGCCTCAGGGTGCTTCCAGCTCTGTGTGTTTCGCTGCAGGGGAATCCGAGAACCCCATACAACACAGTGTGCCTCCCTTTTTTTTTTTTTAAGTGGGTAGTTTTGACTCTAAAATCCTCCTTGGATTTGTATGTGCTACCTCTCCTTTTCACTAGATCCTGTTGATCCCTTTCTCAGATGAAGGTAAAACACTCAGATGCACACAAGGGCTGAGACTTGGTCAGGTCAGCCAGGTCTCCTGGCCCTGTTGCTCCTTCCCCAGCCTGCACTGCCTGGTGCCGCGCATTTTCAGGGAAGAAACCTGTAGGAACAGCAGCACACGAGAACTCGCGCGGACTCACTCCTGCTGTGATTGCAGGAGGACTGGCTACACATGTACGCGATATCCTTGAGACGGTTGTCCATGAATTATTATTATTATTTTTGACAGGCAGCGTTAGACAGTGAGAGAGAGAAACAGAGAGAAAGGTCTTCCTTCCGTTGGTTCACCCCCCAAATGGCCGCTACGGCTGGGCTGGGCCGAGCCGATCCAAAGCCAGGAGCCAGGTGCTTCCTCCTCGTGTCCCATGCGGGTGCAGGGCCCAAGCACTTGGGCCATCCTCCACTGCACTCCCAGGCCACAGCAGAGAGCTGGCCTGGAAGAGAGGCAATCGGGACAGAATCTGGCGCCCCGACCGGGACTAGAACCCGGGGTGCCAGCGCCGCAAGGCGGAGGATTAGCCAAGTGAGCCGCGGCACCAACCCATGAATTACATTAAAAACCAGTTGGTTCTTTTCTTTTACTCATGAACCTGCTTTTCTCCTATGTGTTTCTAGAGCCTCTAGTGTTCCTTTATCAGTTACAGTCTTCCTTTTCTAATCGGAAAAGCCACTTTTTTTTTTTTTGCCACCATCACACCCGTTTTGTCTTTGCTAGGGCTTAACGAGCACAGCAAAGCCCAAGAATCCCTTCTGTGTGCCCTCACCTGGGCTTCAGCAAGCCTTGGAGTCACGTTCCCTCCGATAAAACGCTCTGTGTGGGATGACACTGTCCACTCCAAGAATGTGGCTGAGAGCCAGATGGCGTGTGGTCCAGTGGCCGGGAGAGAGATGAGCACAGTAAAACTAGAAAATGACCAGGGTTGGATACCTGGTCTGAATTTCTCTATCATTTTGAACTTTAGGCTGAGGGTTAACCTAAGTGAAAGGCCAGACCTGTAAAGGGCTGGAGAGAGGTGTTTTCTGCCTCGTGAGCCAGTTTGGCTCCATCCCAGCCCTTGACCTCAGCTCTGGTAGCACTGAGCCAGCTGTATGTAATACACGAACAAACAAGTGTATTCACGTCGCAGTAAAAGCTTTAGTGACCGAAGCAGGCAGCCAGCACTTGAGCCGTGGCTCGCCAGCCCCTAAGCTGTTGATCATAAAAAGCTCTACTAAGTTCTGTAGAGCAGTGGCTCACGTGGAGTTGCTAGCTCTATCTTCGTCACAAGACATAGCTGCTCTCTTCTGATCACAAAAGCAGTACGTGTTTGTTCTGGAAACAGACCTCGTGAGATGAGGTCGTGAATGTCCCTGAACCCTCAGTGTTCTTAGGCTTGGAGATAGTAAGTGCATTCAGTGTTTGCAGTAGGCTCCCTCAGATGCTTTTCTGTGTTTTTACTCCTGGGTTATAGTCTTGGTTATGTTTTTATCACTTATACTGTGTGACTGTCCCGTGTTCCTCACGACGCGCACTGATACGGCACTGACCTCGTCTAGTTAATGATCTCTCCAGGCTGCTCTAGAGCAGGTGGGTGCACACTGACACCCTTGTCTGGCTTCTTGTCACCAGAGGGGAGCGACAGGCTGGAGATAAGACTTTATTACACAGGGCTCCTCTCCGAAATAATGTTTGATTGTAACGCGATTTCACTTGGATCACTCTGACCTGTAATTTGCATATGTCCAACAGAGGAACATTTGACATTTACGTAAAATGTGACGGTGTGGGAAGATGTGTTGGCAACTACGATAACCGTGGGAGTTTCGGCGAGCTGGCCTTAATGTACAACACACCCAGAGCAGCTACAATCACTGCTACCTCTCCTGGTGCTCTGTGGGGCCTGGTGAGTAGAGTGTTTATGTGACCTGAATGTCACCATTAGTGAAAATTATCAGTGTCAGTAGCCAGCTAGAGACAGTATCTTAATTACCTTTTTAAAATTCATTTGTTTGGAAGACATACAGACAGATCTCCCAACTGCTGCTTCACTCCACCAAATGCCTGCCCTGGCCGAGGCTGGGCCAGGCTGAAGCCGGGAGCCAGAAATGGGTGGTCTCCTTCGTGGGTGGTAGGGACTCAGCTACTAGAGCCGTTACTTGCTGCCTCCCAGGGTGCGCGTCAGCAGGAAGCTAAGCCCAGGTCCCCTGGCATGGGGTGTGGGCCTCCTAAGCAGTGTTTTAGCCATTATGCCAACTGCCCACCCCAGTATTTTAATTCCAATAGGTAGGTATATTTGTGATCGTCAGTCATCAGGGACTTTATTCAGCAAGGTCTGGATGCTGAGCTGTGGGGCACGAAGACTGAGCTCCAGTGAGGGCCGGGAGCTCAGGACATACCAGCCGAGGGGAAGACACTCAAGTCCACATCGCACGTGTGTGCATGTATTGAAGCATCATACTGTACCCCATAAATATGAGCAATTACGTGTTCAAAACTAACAAACAGCCCCCCACATAAAGCCCTCAGTGCTTTTTCTCAGACAGCATTCTGAGGTGTTTATCATCTGATACATTGGTGCCCCCCAAAATGTGGTCCCCTGGCCAGTAGCATCCATATCACTGGGGAGCTTCCTGGACGTGAAAATGGGAGTCTCACACCTACTGAGTGAGAAACTCCAGAGCTGGGCCCAGGAGCTGCGTCTGAGCAGGCCTTCCTGGTGATCCAGCCTCATCTTGCGGGCTGCGGAGCCTTTTTTTCTGCCAAGGGCCATTTGCATTGCTTATAACCTCACCACGGGCCATGCAGAATTGTCAGCTTAGAAATTAGCGTGCCATAGATAGATTGAATTTCAAGTCCGGCCTGCAATTGCCTTGGGAGGCCTTATCCTGCCTCCAGGCCAGAGGCTCCTCTATCCGGAGAGGTAAAGAAACCACCAAAAACAGATGCTCTTGGTGGTATCCATCAGTCAGCAGTTTTAACTTGGCATTTAAAAGCAGCTGTGTAGAGAAGAAATACCTGATGCTTTTGCTTCCCACCTTGACATGCATCAGAATTTCCTAGAATATGGGGGAGGGCGGTGTCGCTCCCCCTCTACGTGGAGGAACGACACAGGACCCTGCGCTGTTCTTTCGTCTGCTCGGCCCTCCCCGGGTTTGCTGCTGGTTCTTCCCGGGTTGGCTACTGTCCCTTCCACCTCCGTGGAAGGGCGGTTCCCCCTGGCCACTTTCCCACTTCCGCAGGGGAGCGGCACACCGCCGGCCGGCTCTCTCGGGGGCTGCACAGGTGTTCCCCTTAGATGTTCCCCTTAGATGTTCCCGGTGCATGCCGTCCCTCTCCTCCTTTATAGTCCTCCTCCGCCAATCCTAACTCGGCTGCCCACACGCCGAGTACACTGCTCTCCTCCAATCAGGAGCAAGTCCTACAGTTTATTGGCTGAACTGGAGGCAGCTGTGTAGAAGCTGTTTTCTCCTCTCCCAGCGCCATATTGTGGGAGAGCAGATGCATAGAATAAGTCTTAATTCCAGTAACAGTATAGTCCGAGTTGCTCCCCACAGGGGGGAGCCAAAACATTCTTGCACACCCCCACCCTGCCCCAACAAATGTAATCAGAATCTCAGCGCTGGGACCTGGGCATTAGTGCCTTCAAGTGCATTTCTTCAGGCTGGTCCTTCTGTAGGACTTGAGAGCTGAAAGGCCTATCTGGGTGAGGGAGGGGCCCCGAGAGATGCTTTTTGTGTAAGATGGCAGAGTGCAAAGTATCAGGTACCATTAAAGCTGGTTCTGCAAGACGGTCTCTAAGATGGTGATTCTCCAGCTTCCAGTGCTTCCAGCTCGCCTGGGGCGCCAGGTACAGTGCAGATTTGCTCTCCAGTGGGTCTGGGCTGTGTGTGGCCTGCACGTCTGCGTTTCCACAAGCCCCGGAGAGATGCCTGTTGGCTGGTCTCAGACCTTACTTCCAGCAGCTTCAATTTAAGGAAGTGTTTACAGTGCATGCACCTTCATAATAAATAGTTGAAAACAGCCTGCCCCGTAGGTTTTGTTTTTAAGATTTTATTTATTTATTTGAGAGGTAGAGTTACAGAGCAAGAGACAGGGAGAAAGATCTTCCATCTACTGGTTCACTCCCCAAGTGGCCACAACAGCCACAGCTGGGCCAATCCGAAGCCAGGAGCCAGGAGCTTCCTCTGGTTTCCCCTGCAGGTGCAGGGGCCCAAGTACTTGGGCCATCTTCCACTGCTTTCCCAGGCCATAGCAGGGAGCTGGATTGGAAGAAGAGCAGCCAGGATTCAAACTGGTACCCATTTAGGATGCTGGCACCACAGGCGGAAGCTTAGCTCACTATGCTATGGTTCTGCCCCCCCACTCCCTTTTTAAAGATTTGTTTATTTATTTAGGTAGAATTACAGAGAGGCAGAGACAGAAGAAAGGCAGAGAGGAAGGTCTTCCATCCACTACTTCCCTCACCAAATGGCTGCAAAGGCCAGAGATGGGCTGATCTGAAGCCAGAAGCCTGGTGTTTCTTCGGGGTCTTCCACCAGTTGCAGGGGCCCAAGGACTTGGGACATATTCCCCTGCCTTCACAGGCCATAACAGAGAGCTAGATTGGAAGTGGAGCAGCTGGAGCTTGAACCAGTGCCCATATGGGATTCCAGCACTGCAGGCGGCGGCTTTACCTGCAGTGCCACAGTGCGGGGCTCTGTTTTTTTGTTTTGTTTTTTTTGTTTTGTTTTGTTTTTTTTTTTGAGAGGCACAGAGGGAGGGAGGGAGAGAGAGAGAGAGAGAGAGAAGACATATACATCTTCCATCTGCATCTCCTACTTGGGTGGCAGGGACCCAAGTACTTGAGCCATCACTTGCTACCTCCCAGGGTGCATATTAACAGGGAGCCAGACTAAGGAGCAGAGCCAGATCTCAAACACGGGCACTGCTGTATGGGAGGTCTTAACTGCCGTGCCACAGCATCTGTCCCCACTCTATAGTTTTTGCTGTGCGTTTATGAGGTCATTTCTTTCAAACCCTTTTGTGTAAGACAAAGCTGGATTGGTATGAAATCTGTTAATAATCTCATTCCCAGAGACCTCTCTGCATTACAGAAGTTACACATCCTTCAACTCGGCATTTGACTCCGAAGTGGATTCAGCGGATAAAAATACCTCTTGATCTGAGAAACGAGACAGCTCACATTCCTTTTTTTCTAAGCACCAGGCAGTTACTGTGCTGATTAAACATGTGATGAGGCACTTTTTTAGGGTGTAGGGGGACAACTGGAACTGCTGCAGGTGGCAGGAAGTCGCCGTCTGAAGCCCCACAGGCCTGTGGAGATGTGAGTCCCCAAGGCCAGCCAAGAACAACCTCCCGGCAAGAGCAGACCCGGCTCCCCAGCATTGCCTGTCGTCAGAGTCCGGGGCGGGGCGTGCATCTCGCGTGTCCTATGGCCCGTGTGACCGTGGGGGAGGGATAGTGTAAGCAGTCAGTCCTCCTGGTAGTGCTGCCAGCCAGCCAGGGTCAGGAGGTCCCACAGGAGGGGCGGAGCCCCCTCACACACCCTGGGGGCTGCAGCGGGTGCATTGTCCATTGACCTCCTAGATACTGACACGGTTCAGCCTTGGTAGAAACCTTCATCAGGCACAAGGCCCAGAATTTCTCAGGGTGTATAGCATTTAAGCACTCAAGAAACATTGTCAAAGATGTTTAGTAGTCTGGACTTTTTTTGAAACTTTCTAAAAGTTGGACCGTCTGTCCATCACATTGGAGTACAAATATAGTGAGAGACAGTGGGGGAGAGAGAAATGTCCCATCTGCTATTGGTTTACTCCCCAAATCCTGCAATGGCAGGGACTAACCTGAAAACCAGTACCCCAACCTAGGTCTCGTATGTGGGTTGCAGGAACCCAATTATTTGAGCCGCCACCTGCTGCCTCCCAGTGTACACATTAGTAGTGAGCCGTGTTGGTAACCGAGCCAGTACTTGAACCCAGGCCCTCCAGTGTGGGAGAGCACATCTCAGTCACTAGGCCAAATGCCCACCCCCTCAAGCCTGCTTTGCTTTTTATTTATTTATTTTATCGCTTCTCAGCCTTTTGGCTAAGATCAAGTGTATATTTATTTTTATTTGAAAGACAGAGGCAAACACAGAGAGATCTTCCATCCACTAGTTCACTCCCCAAATGCCTGCAACAGCTGGGACAGGGCCAGGCTGAAGCCAGGAGCCTAGAACTCAGTCCACGCATCCCACATGGTAGCAAGGACCCATGCCCTCCAGTCACTGCCTGCTGTCGTTCAGGGTCTGCATTAGCAGGGATTTGGAATCAGGAGCGGAGCTGAGACACAAACCCAGACACTCTGGTATGGGGATTGGGTTTCCCAAGCCGGGCCTTACTACTGTTCCCAGTGCCTGTCCATCAAACCAGCTTTCCAAGAGCAACTTACTCAACCCCTTCTCTGGGAAAATCGAGTAGAAAAGAAAACTTTCAGGTCAACAGCCTGGAGCTCTGCCTTATATATGCAGGTGTGATGATACTCAAGTCCCAAGAGAAAAATCCAGTACAGCACAGTGTAGCTCTATAAATAATGTATTTGGTCACTGTTAGCCGTGGGAGATTTCCTGATCTGTATGACTGCTGATGATTCAGAAAGGCAATTATTGAAATGACTGGGGTAAAAGCATTTGAAATGGGACTCTCTGAACTTTGTGTGTCACAGTGGGTGTGAAGAGGGGGGCTGCTGAACTGCCAAGCTATTTTGAAGCTTCTCTAGTTTGCAGTATCTGGTTCCCAAGCCTGATTAAATATCAGAATCACTTGGGGGAGCTTTTATGAAATATCGATTACTGAGCCCAACATGCAGACATTTTGAGTCATTAAAGTCTGGGTTCTGAGAAATCTTTTTTTAAACAGCTATTGCTGGGGCTGGCAGGTTAAGCCACCACCTATGATATTGGCATCCCATATGGGTACTGGTTCGAATCTTGGCTGCTCCACTACCAGTCCAGCTCTCTGCTAGTGTGCCTGGGAAAAGCAATGGAAGATGGCCCAGGTGTTTGGGCCCCTGCACCCATGTAGGAGACCTGGAGGAAGCTCCAGGCTCCTGGCTTTGGCCTGGCCTGGCCTTGGCTGTTGCGGCCAATTGGGGAGTGAACCAGCAGATGGAAGATCTCTTGCTCTGTCTCTCCCTCTTTCTGTATAATTCTGCCTGTAAAAAAATAAATAAATAAAATTAGGGACTAGGGCCTGCAGTGCCCACATCCCATATGGGCACTGATTGGAGTCTTGGCTGCTCCACTTCCTGTCTAGCTCCCTGCTGATGTGCCTAGGAAAGCAGCAGAAGATGGCTTAAGTTCTTGGGCCCTTGTGCCCATGTGGGAGACCTGGAAGAAGCTCCTGGCTCCAGGCTCCTGGCTTCAGATCAGCCCAGCTCCTGCTTGTTGCAGGAATTTGAGGAATGAACCAGCAGATGGAAAATATTCTCTCTCTCTCTCTCTCTCTCTCTCTCTGTCTGTCTGTCTCTCTGTAACTCCGCCTTTCAAATAAATAAATCTTTAAAAAATAAATAAATAAGAATTTTAAAAATTAAAGAAAAAAACAACTATAGCTGATTCCAAAGCAGAACCTGGCTTGGAAATAATTTCAGTATGTTTGTAAAATTAGCTTATAAACTTTTTTTGTCTCTTTAATGCTATTAAGAGTACCAGTTCAGTTATAAGCAGTGCCAACATGGTAGTAAACTAACTTGGGGAACGAATTGTTTAATTTCTGAGCTTCTTAGTCTATTTGGGCTGCATGTTAAGACACCGTCATGGACGAGGTGCTTAAGCCACATGCATCCATTTCTCGGTTCTGGAGCCTGATAAGCAGCCATCAGGGTACTGGGAGACCGTCTGGTTGAAGGCCCGCTTCCTGCTGCATAGAGGCCATCATCTCACTGCGGCCTTGTTGGGCGAAAGGAACCAAGCATCGCTGTGGGGCCTATTTTATTATTAGAGCATCACTCTCATTCATGAAGACTCCACACCCCTGATCTAATCACCTCCCCAAGACCCACACTATGTGATACAGTCACATGAGAGCTAGGATGTCAGCCTAAGAACCAGGAGGGGCACCTGCAGACTCGCCCTGCGGAGCAGTCTTTCCCCACTGCACTAGTTCATTTAAATGGAGCCTTAACGTGTTGGCATCATAATTTATTAGTTAAATAACTTACCCTGGGGCCAGCCTTGTGGCATAGAGGGTTAACCTGCTGCCTGCGATTCTAGTATCTCCTATGAGCACCGATTCAAGTCCTGGCTGCTCCACTTTTGATCCACCTCCATGGTAATGCATCTGGGATGGCAGTGGAAGAAGGCCCAAGGGCATTGACCTCTGCCACCCATGTGAGCTGCCCAGATGGAGTTCCATGTTCCTGGCTTTGACCTGGCACAGACTTGCCTGTTGCAGGTCTCTTTCCCCCCTGCACGCCCCATTCCTCCCCTCCACCCTGTAGTAACTCTTTTAAATAAATAAATAAATAAATGTTATAAAAAATAGCTTATCCTAATCTTTATTTGAATAAAAATGTTATAATAATATATCAACGAATGCCAAACCAGTGTAATTATAGGGGTTTTTTTTAGAATTCATTTCTTTATTTTTCATTTTCTTGAAAGGCAGAGTGACAGAGAAAGAGAGGGAAGAGAGACCTTCCATCAGCTGGCTTACTCTCTGAATGCCTATAACAAGCTGGGGCTGTCCCAGGCCGAAGCCAGGAGTTCCATCCAGGTCTCCCACGTGGGTGGTATGGGCCCAAGCGCTTGGGCCATTATCTGCTGCCTCTGGTGCATTAGCAGGAAACTGCACCAGAGGCAGAGTAGCCAGGGCTCACATCAGCACTCCATTTAGGACCTGAGTCCCAAGCAGTGGCTTAATCTGCCATGTCACAATGCCTGCCCCTAGGAGTTTTTATTTAAGAATTAGAATAATATGGTAATTTTTTAAAAATAAACTTTTAGGAGAATCATTTTTTAAGCTGTCATACTTAAAAATCTCCCTGATTCCTGTTAATTTCCAAGTTTTTGAGGTCATGTAATTTACAGACATATATAGGAACATGTTAGACTATCAACCGATAAACTGTGGAATTAGGCCTTAAGAAAGTTGTCAGTTCTCTGAACCTTCACATTTCAAAAAAAAAAATTCTGACATCATGTGGGTATGAAAAAGGATGATAAGTATAACATGTTTCAGTATTTCTTAATATTAAAAAAATAACAACAACAAAAAAATCTTGCAAGGAATGTTCCCCAAGATTTCTGTTCTGCTTCCTTTTGGTTTTATAAAAGCACTGGTCATGTCCTACCAAAGTGATCTTGCAGGCCACTAGGGGCGCCATCGGCAGTGCTGAGAACTGTGTCTTGTTAAAAACAATGTGACAGCACCCCCTTGTGGGTACAGCTCGGTATGTTGGTCAGACTTTGTTAGCAGTAAAAGTCGGCCAGTGCATTCTTCTCTCAAACATGGAAGTAGCATTTTATATGGTTCTGTAGTATTTGTTGTGCTTGAAGAACTCAAAACATGAAGTGAGTTGCATTAAGAGTATAACGAGGTTAATCTTTTATTTCAGCTTCTCCTCCTATTGGCCATGCCTTCCAGGGAATAAAATAAAATGGTTTGTCCACACATGTTTTCCTCCATAAATTTTAACTCTCTTTCTCTTGCATATTCTGCCTCCAGGACAGGGTAACCTTCAGGAGGATAATTGTGAAAAACAATGCCAAAAAGAGGAAAATGTATGAAAGCTTTATCGAGTCACTGCCATTCCTCAAATCCCTGGAGGTAAATATGTGCTAATACTTTCATCTTACTTTCAAAACTTCTGTCTTAGGGATTTCTGATTCTGTGGAAAAGTTTCTTTGAGTAAGAAAAAAGTACGTTTTCATTTGAAGCAATCAAATGGTGTTAGTTGTCATCACTATTTCTTTTTTTTTTTTTATTTTTTATTTTTATTTTTTTATTTTTTTTTATTTTTGATAGGCAGAGTGGACAGTGAGAGAGAGAGACAGAGAGAGAAAGGTCTTCCTTTGCCGTTGGTTCACCCTCCAATGGCCGCCGCTGCAGCCGGCGCACCGCACTGATCCGATGGCAGGAGCCAGGATCCAGGTGCTTTTCCTGGTCTCCCATGGGGTGCAGGGCCCAAGCACCTGGGCCATCCTCCACTGCACTCCCTAGCCATAGCAGAGAGCTGGCCTGGAAGAGGGGCAACCGGGACAGAATCCGGCGCCCCGACCGGGACTAGAACCCGGTGTGCCGGCGCCGCAAGGTGGAGGATTAGCCTATTGAGCCACGGCGCCGGCTCTCACTATTTCTTTTACTGCACATAACTATGTGTGTTTGTTATTTACAAGTGATGTGCTGCTGGCCAGCATGTGTAGCGAATCTGTGTGTGTAGTCGCAGGCTTAGCATAAACATGTATCTGGAAGTGCGAGCCGCTGCATATGAGGATCAGGGAGGCAAGGTCCATGCACCGACTGGCCTCACAGACGTCATTGCTATTTGCTTCTTCTCTCTTCCTTTCCTCTTAAGATTGGCATTACAGGCCTGTGTCGGCCTTAGTCTCTTTTCCTACTCCCTTCGTGTGTGTCATAATCCCATGACTTTCAAGCACAGTCCGTATACTGATAGCCTCCCTGCGTTACCAGACTCAGTCATCCGACTGCAGGTGTGCACTGTGCTGCCCGGTGTTGACGCCTCAGACCTAACCACGCAGAGTCTCCTCCTCCCGCTTCTCTCCACCGTCCTGTGCATGGCGACCCTGCGCATCCTTCCAGCCTGCAGGCCAGGAGCCCCGGGCTCCTGCTGACTCCCGCGTGCTCCCCGCCCACGCCCCTCCTGTCTGGTCCACCTGATCTTCTCCGCCCTGTCTTCAGCATCTGCTCGTTTCCTGGTTTCTCCACCGTCACCCTCTGTGCCGTCCTCACTGCTTGCCTGGCTTGCTGCAGTCCAGACGACGGTACTCCTGTCTAAGACCCTCCTCCCAACGCCTCTGAGGCCCTGCACAGTCTGGCCCGTGCCCCGTCCTGTACCCACCCTGACCCGGGTTCCTTCTACCCTGCCCTCGGCATCCTGATCTGGACACGCTGGCTGCCTGCAGGTCCCCTGGCGAGCCTGGCCCTTCCGTCCTGCAGGGCCTTTGCACGGGTTGAGTGTCTCCCGTGTCCTCCCACACGGCCCTGCACTCAGGCCCTCATCCCCCTCAGATGTCTTCTCAGTGGGGCCAGCTGTTCAATTTGCATCTTCGAAGGTAGAGACTCAGGAGAAAGTGGGTAGTCATAACTCCAAACCTTCAACTTCACTTTCAGTTGGTCATTAAACTCATTTTAGTCTCCCCTGTGAACTATGTGGAGAGTAATTAAAGAGGGACTTCGCTGTGCACCCACAGCGTCTTATCAAAGGGCAAATGTCGAAACTAGTGGTCCTCCTTCCTCGAGGCTCTGCGGGGCTGGCAGAGCTCAGAACGCAGGCTGGGCAGCTGGCCTCCAGTGCCAGGGCTCTTCGAATAAAAATAGACCAGGGGCTGGAAACCCAGTGCCTTCGGAGGGAGGCGAGGATCTTAAAGAAAGCCAAGCCAGGAAGGGCCTTGGGCGGATTGGAGAACACGTGTTCCAGCTTCAGAAACAGCTGTGGTTTTATGTTGCGTTGGTTCCATGCTGCCACCAGCTGGAAAACCAGGCTGAGTGGTGCTGAGTCCTCTGATTCTCAAGAGAAGCTGGGAGTTGGAATTTTCATGAAACATTGATTTCTCCAGTGCTAGCAGTTAATTAATATAACAAGTCCCTGTGATGCACACATAGTTTGACACATTTGGCCTGTAGGCTGCTCATGTTTAACCTGCACTGTGGAAAGAATGCCCGGTCTGTTTCTGTCTAATAGTGTATTTTTTTTTTCTCTCCTCTGTATAGGTTTCTGAACGCCTAAAAGTAGTAGATGTGATTGGCACCAAAGTATACAACGATGGAGAACAGATCATTGCTCAGGTAGAGTAGCATCTGTAATTCAGCTCCAGGCCATGCCGCAGAAGGTTTCTACACATTGTGAATGTTGATAAATTTGTTATATGTTTCCATAGTGAGTGTGCAGTGACTGGTTAAGTGAATATTCCTCCTACCAAATGACCTGTTAAGAAAAGGGTCAGTTTGCAGCTGTTGAGCTGTTTGAATATTTTGTCTATATAATTAACTCCTAATGAATATGTATGAAACCACCAAATGGCTTTCTCCATAATTTGGTATTGGTACCTGGCATGAAGTTCACATACATAGGAAGAGTAAGGTGTCGTTTGTTTGTAAATGAGAAGCAGGGGGTATGTCCCATGAGGTCAGTGAGGCTGGGAAGGTACCTAGGAGGACACTGTAAAGTTGGGTGTGGTCAGGTCACCATGCCACCGCCTGAGGCCGCACCCTCATCACCTTCACCCAGTGATTGACTTCCAGGCACCACATGGGGTCCAATGTGTTCTTTAACCCCTAGCACTTTTCTCAAACTCTGCTCTTACACGCCATGGATAGAGCCAGGCTACCAAAAGGCTGGGTCCATGAAAGGATTTGAAGTTGGCAGGTAAGGCATGCAGATGATACTTTATTTTCAGTTGCGTTTGGTAAGCACTGAGCAAATGATTTAAATCAATCTCATAGATTCTGTGAGTGTTATATCGCAGCAGTGTACTGCAGTCTGAAATACTGTCTGTCCCTTCATGAGTGAAACAGGATCCCTGGTCTGTGTGCCTGAGGCAAGATCACTGTTTAGAAGGCAAATGAACACATAAGTCTTGCAGTCAGTCTCCCCGCTCCCACGTACACAGGGATTTGGACAGCCGGGGGCTGGGAAGAACAGAGTAGAGTCAGACTGAAGAAGCAGGCTAAGGTGATTACGCTGGTAAATGACAAAGACAGAGAGCGATGTGTAAATGCTTTGTAATGAGGTTGCTTTTCGATAATTATAAATTCGTAAGAAGTTGCAAAAATAGTACTGCCAGAGCCCATGTACTCCTCACCCAGTTTCTCTAGGGCATCTTGCATCACAGCTCTCAGTGTCAAGGCTGGGAAGTAGACATTGGCACAGTCCACAGACCTTTCTCAGATCTGTCAGGTTGACGTACACTTAGAGCATGTTTTAGAAACAAACACACAAGTACACAGAGAGTAACAGCCCTGTTAGGATTCAAGACACTCAAACATGTAACATGAAGCTCTTATGAAAATCTATGGAAAGGAAAGAGATATGCTATATTTAGGTATTTAGGGCTTATTAAGGTTTTCTAAAGGTATTAGTTGTCTTTTTTTTTTTTTTTTTGACAGGCAGAGTGGACAGTGAGAGAGAGAGAGAGAGCCAGAGAGAAAGGTCTTCCTTTGCCGTTGGTTCACCCTCCAATGGCCGCCGCGGCCGGTGTGCTGCGGCCGGCGCACCACGCTGATCCGAAGGCAGGAGCCAGGTGCTTCTCCTGGTCTCCCGTGGGGTGCAGGGCCCAAGCACCTGGGCCATCCTCCACTGCACTCCCTGGCCACAGCAGAGAGCTGGCCTGGAAGAGGGGCAACCAGGACAGAATCCGGCTCCCCGACTGGGACTAGAACCCGGTGTGCCAGCGCTGCTAGGTGGAGGATTAGCCTGTTGAGCCACGGCACCGGCCTAGTTGTCTTCTAAGCATTCGTAAACATACATATCCGCACTATATTCTAGAAATCTAGATTCAACATTTATTTTAATTTTCATTTATTTGAGAGAAAGAGAGTTACCATCCATTGATTCATGCCCCGGATGCACATGATGGTCAGGTACCAGGCTGGGACTGGAGCCAGGGACCTGGAATACAATCCAGGTCTCCCAGATGGGTGGCAGGAACCCAGTTCCTGAGCCATCACCCGTGCCTCTCAGGGACTACATTAGCAGGAAGCCAGAGTCAGGGGCTGGAGCCAGTTATGGAAACCAGGCACCTACTCCAGTGAGGAGGCAGACATCTTAACTACTAGGCCAAACGCCCACTGCTTCAACATTTATTTTTCTGACATGATCTGGTACTTGTTCTTTGCATTGTACTAACAAATTCTGGAATATCTGGATTTTTCTAGAATCACTTTGAGAAGCCCAGAAAACTCCATGTCTGTGTTACTATTTTCCATTGTGTACTTTTTTTTTTTTTAAGATTTATTTTGTTTAATTGAAAGACAGAGTTACAGGGAGAGGTAGAGACAGAGAGAGAGAGGTCTTCTGTCCTCTGGTTCACTCCTCAGATGGCCGCAACAGCCAGAGCTGTGCCAATCCAAAGCCAGGAGCCAGGAGCTTCTTCCAGGTCTCCCATGTGGGTGCAGGGGCCGAAGAACTTGGACAATCTTCTACTGCTATCCCAGGCCATAGCAGAGAGCTGGATCGGAAGAGGAGCAGCTGAGATTAGAATCGGCGCCCATATGGGATGCTGACGCATCAGGCCAGGGAGTTAACCCACTGTGCCACAGCGCCAGCCCCCCATTGTGTACTTTTTTAAAAAAGATTTATTTATTTGAAAGGCAGAGTTGTAGAGAGAGCTGTCTTCCATCTGCTGGCTCACTCCCCAAAGGGCTGCAACAGCCAGGGCTGGGCCAGTCTGAAGTCAGGAGCTTCTTCCAGGTCTCCCACACAGGTGCAGGGGCCCAAGCACTTGAACCATCTTCTGCTGCTTTCCCAGGCCAAGCAGAGAGCTGGATTGGAAGCAGAGCCGCGGAGACACAAACCAGCACCCAAGTGGAATGCGGGTGCCTTGGCAGTGCCTTGCTGCACTGCAACGTCAGCTTCCGTTGTGTACTGTTCAGCTCAGGAGGCGTCCCTGGGAATCAGGGCTGTGCTTGTCACCACGTGTGCTGTCAGCCAGGCCGGGCTGTCGCAGCCATTGGTCCCATGACTTTTCCCAGAAACCCCTGTGGTAGAGAGACAAGTACTACAAATACTTTGTCGAATGAAACAGTGTGTAATTGTCAGTTGTGTGGTGTCAGTTTAGAAATAGGTGGCCTGTGTCTGTGGGGTCGGGGACCTGTGGGGGTCTGTCACACCGTGTGCGTGTTCACCCCCTGTTTCTGTTGTTTTATTCCGATAGGGAGATCTGGCGGATTCTTTTTTCATTGTAGAATCTGGAGAGGTGAAAATTACCATGAAGAGAAAGGTAAGCTCCCCCCCCACACACACACAACATGAGTCCTAACAATCCACGGATCAGCAGGAATGTAGTAGAGTTTTTGATGTGTAGACCAAGGCTCACTTGTGTCTCCCATAAGCCGAGTAGAAATATTTCTGATCGCCTTGCCAGGGCAAGTCGGAAGTGGAAGAGAACGGCGCCGTGGAAATCGCCCGCTGCTCCCGGGGACAGTACTTCGGAGAGCTCGCCCTGGTGACGAACAAGCCTCGAGCAGCCTCGGCGCACGCCATCGGGACCGTCAAATGCCTGGGTAGGGATGGCAGCCGCCGCAGCCTCCTCGGGCGCAGGCGGCCCTGTGTGCATTCATCTTGTTCAGACCCTTATTTATCGCCTCTCTGAGCTGGGTGGTCCCCACAGAATGCAGCAGGGTTTAGAACCCACTGCACCCTGTAAAAATCCACACGTGGAGGCAGTTGTTCTTCTCTGACAATTTTTTCATCCAAGTGTGTTTTGTTCTTTCGTACGTGCATGAAAGAACATCTCATGTTAAGCAATCCAAAGAAGCATCCCACACACCAAGCCTTCTACCTGACCTGTCAGATAAACAGCCTACGCTTTGCCCCTCAAAAGAGGAGGCTCTGTAGTATTTTCACGGTGTCATCGCGCTCTCGGGCCAGGCCCAAGAACCTCCGCCCAGGTGTGCCAGGGCACAGCCACGTGTTCCCTGTTACTTTCTCCTACCAGGGCGGCCTGGCAGAAATGCCGTCTTCCGTGGGGAAACCTCTGTGTCTGGGATTTTAGATGTGAGAAATCCCTGTATGAATATAAAATACAGTTTGGGAGGTGGCACTGCGAGGGCTTTTTTTTTTTTTTTTTTGACAGGCAGAGTTACACAGTGAGAGGGAGACAGAGAGAAAGGTCTTCCTACTGGTTCACCCTCCTATGGCCACTGCGGCCGGCGTACCGTGCTGATCCAAAGCTAGGATCCAGGTGGTCTCCCATGCAGGTGCAGGGCCCAAGCACTTGGGTCATCCTCCTCTGCACTCCTGGGCCACAGCAGAGAGCTGGCCAGGAAGAGGGGCAACCGGGACAGAATCTGGCGCCCCGACCAGGACTAGAACCCGGGGTGCTGGCGCCGCAAGGTGGAGGATTAGCCTATTGAGCCGTGGCGCCGGCTGGCATTTTCTTTATAAAAACAGATTCCACACTAATTAGCCACTCTGTGCTCCACCATTTAAGAGGGTAAACTGAGTTGCCGTGTTTTTAGGATTTGCAAAGACCCGCAAAATTAACTTTCTTAGAGCAGTCATTTTTAAAAGGCTTTAAGTAAGTGAATTAGTCAAGTGATATACTTAGATAGAAGAGAAGACAATTAGAAACTGACAGGCAATTTTCCTGAGTGGAGCTATTAGACAGTGGAAGGTGACATGAGTGCAGTTCTGTTAAATTTTTTTATAACAAATTGCATTCATATTAAAGAAAGTCTAAGAAATAAAATGCAGGAAAAACTAAGACACCCACAGCATCATCCCCACTGTGATTTCTGCTGTTAACAATTGTGCTTTTTTTAACTGCATAGATTTTTCTATTTTTTTTAAGATTTATTTATTTTATTCAGAAGGCAGAGTTAGAGAGAGGGTAAGACAGAGACAAGAGAGATATCTTCCATCTGCTGGTTCACTCCTAAATGGCCACAGCAGCTAGAGATGGGCTGGTTTGAAGCTGGGAGCCAGGAGCTTCTTCCAGGTCTCTCACGTGGGTATGGCGGCCCAAGGATTTGGGCCGTCTTCCACTGCTTCCCCAGGCCATTAGCAGAGAGATGAATTGGAAGAAGAGCAGCCAGGACATGAACCACCGGCCATATAGGGTGCTGGCATTGCAGGCGATGGCTTTACTCACTATACCACAGCACTGGCTGCTGGTCCCCAGCCCTGGTTTTCTGCTCTTAAATAATTTTGCAAACTGCTTTTTTCATTAATTATAACTTAGGAATTTCTGATTTTATTACCTCAGATGTAACCTTCTATTAGATAAATTATTTATGCACAGGATAAATTATTTAGTCTCCACTGGTTCATAATTTGTGGGTTTTGGCTCTGATTTTTTTTTTTTTTTTTTTTGAGCATATTTTGGTACATAGAAGGCTTTTCTACATATAAAATGTTTCCTTAGAATTTTTTTTTTAAAGATTTTATTTATTTATTTGAGAGGTAGAGTTAGAGAGAGGGAAAGATAGAGAGGTCTTCCATCTGCTGTTTCACTCCCCCAAATAGCCGGAATGGCTAGAGCTGGGCCAATCCAAAGCCAGGAGCCAGGAACTTCTTTATGGCCTCCCATGCTGGTGCAGGGGCCCAAGGACTTGGGCCATCTTCCAGTGCTTTCCCAGGCCATAGCAGAGAGCTGGGTCAGAAGAAGAGCAGCTGGGATACAGACTGACACCCATGTGGGATGCCAGTGCCTCAGATGGAGGCTTAACCTACTACTCCACAGTGCCAGCCCCTAGAAGTAGTTTTCAGAGGAGTTTTTTGCCCCTAATGACTTTTGATATGTATTCCCAGGTCTGTTTTCTTTGTACCTATTTACATGCTACTGGCAGTGCAAGAATGTGCATTTACCCTACTCTTGTAAATGCCCCTTTTTTTAACCTCTGCAATCTGGAAAAGCAAAAGAGATGCATTCTAATCAGTATTTCTGTGATAGAAATACCTAGTCCTGGTCCTTGCAACCATTTTGGGTGTGAACCAGCTGATTGAAGATCTTTCTGTGTCTCTTCCTCTCTCTATAACTCTGCCTTTGAAATTAAAAAACAAAAATGTAAAAATTGTAGAAGGGAACGTTTGATCTTCACAACACAGCATGGTGAGCCCTGAGAAACAGGGTAGGAAACCCTCCATGGCCCCCTCTGAGGGGGATCCATAATACCAAGTTGGCAACAGGCACATTTATATTTCAAAGTCCCAAGGTGTGTCCCTTATTCTGTTCTCAGCTTGGTTCAGGCACCTCCCCACAAGCCAGCCCTGCACATCACACCCCAGGGCACCAGTAGGTGTGACCCAGGGAGGCCAGGGCTGCTGCTTTCTCTTGTCTTTTACACTGTTTGCCCAGAGACACCAGTGCATTCCCGATAGATGCAGAATGGACATTAGACATGACTTGGAGATGTTTGATTTGTCGTTTACTCTTCCCCGTCTTAGCCATGGATGTGCAAGCGTTTGAGAGGCTCTTGGGACCTTGCATGGAGATCATGAAAAGGAACATAGCCACGTATGAAGAGCAGTTAGTGGCGCTGTTTGGAACAAACATGGATATTGTTGAACCTACTGCATGAAGCGGAAGTATGGAGCAAGAAGACCTATAGTGACAAAGTGACACAGTAGTGGTTAGTCCACTGAGGATGTGTTTGTCTAGATGCCAAGCATTTTCTGTGGTTTCAGGTTTTTTCCATTTTTTTTTTTTTACATTTACGACGTATCAGTACACCGTAGTGACCTAATAGTCAGTAGGCTTTAACATCACTTTCTAAAGAGTAGTTCATAAAAAACAAAAAACAAAAAAAAACCAACATATTGGTAAAATGACTTTCTACTCCACAAAATTATTTGACTGAGAGATTTATTCAAATGATTGTAATATATTAAAAATATGTGTGTTTAAGAAGATAATTAAAATATGTTACCATGGATGATATGTGTTTGACTTCTTCATGATGTCATATAAGGCTGTGCCCATGTGAGAGGGATCTTGGCAGGAATCATGCTGTGAGGCATGGCATAACGTTCCTTTTATAACCCATTCTGTATAGTAACATTGTAATCATTCTAGTTTTAAAGCTCTTCTGGCTTGATAGGTTATGCGCTGGCCTTGGCCTGTCGGTGAAATGGTATACAACATCATATGCAATTTTAAAACTTTTTATATTTTGCAATAAAGTAACATTTTGACTTCTTTGATGTGATGTCAGTAGCCTACATATTCCAGTGGTTTTAAGGACTGGCAATTTAGTCATATGGTAATTGGAGAAATTTTTTTTTTTAGATTGGAGATCATGAATTCGTTCTTTTCATCTGGCATATCTTTTTTTTTTCATTTTGCAGTTCTCCACATTCTTTAGAAAAGTGTGGTTTTGACATTTGATGTCATGAAGGGTTTTTTTTTTTTTTTTTTTGTTAGCTAATCTTATTAAATCTGACTTTATCTTCTAAAATCCTAAGATCTAATACTTTAAAAAAGAAAAACCCATCTATACCACACATATGTTGGGGTCTTCTGAGCCTGGCCACGGGCAGCTGCTGTTCTTCGCAGGGCCTGTGTAACACAGTCCATAGTAAACACCTGCTCTCAGTGCCTGTTTGCCAGCCCATGAGCTCAGCAGTTCAGCAGCTCAGCAGCCAGTGAAGTTCCCCCACTCCTCTTAAGAATTCCTCATATGAGCAAGACTAGCCATGACGATGAAAGGAACCTTTGCCCACACAGAATAAATCCTCAGGCCTTGCCATGTGCTTCCATGTAGATTTGGTAGTTACAGGTGCAGCATGAACTCCAACCTGATAGGTTTTCATTGATCATCGACGTGCTTATTACACTGCCACGTGAGATGGATTTTATCATATTCAACCAAAGCATCATACTCTGCCATGATTTTTGGGCCTCATGACCCTATGGCTAGGGACATTAATTCTAGCCAGTTGTTTGCTTTTAAATGAGCAATTCCATTTTGGGAAATGTGTTTCAAAAGAATCTGTACATGGGTAAAATTCTTTCGTGGCTGTGTGGTCCTATTAGAGAATGTGTATGGTCTGACTTGCGTATGAAAACACAGTCAGAATGTTAAGTTGGGTAATGTATATATAAGAAGTGTAAAAAGTACGTGAAGTATAACTTCAGCCACGTTTTAACATTTTAGAATGCTGTTTGACATTTTTGTGACGACTTCTTGTAGGAAAAGAGAACTTTCTACGTGACTCGTTTTTGATTTCAGAATTTATTTTAAAAGACATGTCTGTTAAAAACTCAAAGAACTCACATTCCTGGTCCATCATTTAGTCACTTTTTCAAGTTATCTCTTTTGTTGCATAAGCTGATTGTTAACTATTCATGGAACAGCAAACAAATGCCTGTTTAATAAAGAACTCTTGACCAAGGCTATAAAAGCCAGTTACATTATTTTCAGTATTGTTGGTTATATTTAAATTTTCCTTATAATAAAGCACACTTTTATAATAAAATACATGAATTACTGTTTTTAATATCTTTTGCTTATTTCTTTAATATGATTTGCAGAGGATATAATGCATTGAAAAGCATGAAGGAGATGGACATACGTTAGCTAATAACCCCCAGGGCCTAACACAGCAAGTATGTTTTTGTACAGCAATGGGTTGGTTTTTTTAAATTTTTAACTCTTGGTAATACGTGAGAGAAATAATTGTGGTATATTGCAGATTGCAATAAATAAATAAATTTGGCTAACTAGGGAATTTATATATAATATTGCCTAATTAAAGTAGCTCCATTTTGACTTGTGGATGTCATTATTTCATCAGTCACAAAGTGTCCTTATCATTTGGGAATTCTCTGTTTCATTCAGGACTGCTTCCTGGGCTGCCTCCGTGGCGTAGCAGGTTAAGCAACGGCCTGCCGTGTCCACATCCTAGATGGGCGCTGGTTCAAGTCCCAGTTGATTCACTTCGAATCCAGCTCCCTGCTAACAGCCTGGGAAAGCAGCAAAGAATGGTCCAAGTGCCTGGGCCCTGCCACCCATGTGGGAGACCCAGAAAAAACTCCTGGCTCCTGCCTTTAGCTTGGCGCAGCTCCCACATTTGCAGCCATTTAGGGAATGAACAAGCGGATAGAAGATATCTCTGGGGCCAGTGCTGAGGTGCAGTGGGTTAACGCCCTGGCCTGAAGCGCCAGCATCCCATATGGGCACCGATTCGAGACCCAGCTTTCTGCTATGGCCTGGGAAAGCAGTAGAAGATGGCCCAAGTCCTTGGGCCCCTGCACCTGTGTGGGAGACCTGGAAGAAGCACCTGGCCCCTGGCTTCAGATCGGCATAGCTCTGGCTGTTGCAGCCAAGTGGGGAGTGAACCAGTGGATGGAAGACCGCTCTCTGCCTCTCCTCTCTCTATGTAATTCTTTCAAATAAATAAATAAATCTTAAAAAAAAAAAAAAAGAAGATATCTCTTTCTCTCTGTCTCTCTTCCTCTCTCTCTCTAACTCTGCCTTTCAAATAAATAAATCTTAAAAAAGATGCTTCCTGATAATGTTGTTGTTGTTGTTGTTCAGATTTATTTATTTCATAAGGCAGAGAGAGAGAGAGAAATAGATCTTCTGTCCACTGATTCATTCCACAAATGACTGCAACAGTCAGGTCTGGGCCAGATTGAAACCAGAAACCAGGAGCTCCATCCAGGTTTCCCACATGGGTGGCAGGGGCCCAGATACTTGGGCCATCTTCCACTGCCTTCCCAGGCGCATTAGCAAGAAGCAGTATTGGAAGTGCACTGGGACTCAAACCAGCACCTCAGTATGCAGGTAGTGACTTAACTCATGGTGCCACAATGCTGGTCCCATCCAGCCCGGTCCTGATGGGTACATGTGGCTAGGAAAGGGGTTAGGAATTCTTTCCAGAAAACAAAGGTGCTTCCCATTGTTTGTCTTAAGTAAACATAAAGAAGTAGGTGCGTTTCTTGCATACCAATATGCATTAGGGCTTAGCACATACGTTTTAACATACTGTCTAGGGGGAATATACTTGGGTGAGAACAGTAAAACTGCTCCACCTAGCTGGCCATTTAAAATGTGTAAAAATGCTGCAAGTGAAACAGGACATGAAGCAAGGGATTTTAGGTTTTATTGAAATGTGTATGATTTCAGTGCTGAGTTCTTTTTATGTTCCAAGGCATCTTTTTTTTAAAGAAAACTTTTATTTAATAAATATAAATTTTGAAAGTACAACTTCTGGATTATAGCAGTTTTCCCTCCATAACCACCCTCTCATGCACAAATCATCCCGACTCCTACTCCATCTCCCACTCCATCTCCCATCCCATTCTTCATTAAGATTCACTTTTAATTATCTATATACAGAAGGTCAACTTAGTATATACTAAAGATTTCGACAGATTGCACCCACACAGACACACAAAGTATAAAGTACTGTTTGAAGACTATTTTTACTGTGAATTCTCATAGTACAACATAATAAGGACAGAGATCCTACATGGGGAGCAGGTGCACAGTGACTCCTGTTGTTTTAACAATTGACACTCTTATTTATGATGTCAGTAATCACCCGAGGCTCTTGTCTTGAGCTGCCAAGGCTATGGAAGCCTCGGGTTCACAAACTGACCTTATTTAGACAAGGCCATAATCAAAGTGGAAGTTCTCTCCTCCCTTCAGAGAAAGGTACCTCCTTTGATGGCCCGTTCTTTCTGCTGGGATCTCACAGAGATCTTTTGTTTAGGTCATTTTTTGCCACAGTGTCTTGGTTTTCCATGCCAAGGTATCTTTTAAAAATATGGATATGATTTTTCCTTTCTTAAGAAAGTGGTATTTCTAACAAAGTTTAGATGACCTTTGTTGTTCTTATAGAAAATTAATACTGTGTAAATTAAAGGGGATTAGCAGTGCATCTGTACTAAGCCAAGGCTTTGTTAAATAGCTGGAAAGATTATAGTATCTAAATAAAATGTTCACACTTGGGGCCAGTCCTGTGGTGCATAGGGTTAAAGCCATGGCCTGCAGTGCCAGCATCCTATATAGGTACCAGTTTGAGTCCCAGCTGTTCCACTTCCAGCTCTCTGCTACTATGGGAAAGCAGCAGCAGATGGCCCAAGTACTTGGGACCCCCTACCCATGTGGGAGACCTGGAAGAAGCCCCTAGCTACTGGCTTCAGCCTGGCACAACTGGGTTGTTGCACAAGTGGGTTGTTGCAGCAATCTGGAGAGTGAACCAGTGGTTGGAAGTGCTCTCCTTCTAACTGCCTTTCAAATACATAAAAAAAAAAAAAAAAAAAAAGTTAACACCTACAAAATAACCACTACAAAGAATGCTGCTTTCTAAAATTAAATAGTGTGAGATACAGCTTGATGTTGAGAATCTAATAATTTATAATTTTTTAAGACTTGCTTATTTGAGAGAGTTACACAGAGAAAAGGAGAGAGAGAGCGCGTGTGCAAGTTTCCATCCACTGGTTCACTCCCCAGATGGCCACAATGGCCAGGGCTGGGCCAGACTAGAGCCAGGAGATTTAACCGGGTCTCCCGAGTGAGTGGCAGGGGCTGAAGCATTTGGGCCATCATCCGCTACTTGCATCGGGCCAGTGGCAGGGAGCTGCATGGGAGTTGGAGCAGCCGGGACTAGAATAGGTGCCCTAACATGGAATGGGTGTCATAGCACCTTAGCTCACTGCCACAACGCTGATCCTGTGTGTCAGAGAATTTTGACAGGAAGGAAGAAATTGCCTTTTGCGTTTTTGTGCTCCTCAATTTGTAAATCTACAATTTCCTAGGAAATCCTGAAGCCTGTATCATTTATATATGGGAAGATGGCAATGATGTAGGAGACAGAAGTAATTACATCATAAAAATGGAATGCCATCTACAAGGGAGATGGCTTTTCTCAGACCGTAGCCATTACTCCAGTCTTCCAGTTCCCCAACACTAAGATCTATGGCAAGATAGGTACACACGAAATAATGTTGTGTTGGTGCCAGTCATAACTGGTTGCTTATAGCACATAAATGCAGTCTGCCTTCAACTGGAAAAACAAAAACTGACTTTTTGCTCCAGGCACAAAAGGAAGAGTTGTAAATAAACTCTGAAATAATAAAAGAAACCCTGACTTGCTTGCAACAGACTAGACATGATATCCTACATATTTTTGCTTTAATTCCAAAAAGTTGATAATGCAGAGCCATTGAGTGAGTTTCTCAGCTAAATCTTGGGTCAGAACCTTGGGTAGAGTCCCTTCTAACTGCTGCTTTTCTATCTCTTCCTGATCGGAAACCTTCCCAGATCCTGCTGAGGAAGGCGAGAGTAAACTGTAAATCCCTGGAGCTTCACTGCTTGTTGTAGATCAAAAGCTGATATTTAATAGAAGTATATCTCTCTTACGGCGACTGTATTCTTGAAATCTAAACAAATGACCTTTACAAAGGCCAAATGAGGTTTTCATTATTTTAGGAGAGGTACTCAGCACAGAAGTATCAGTGGCTTTTTTTTTTTTTTTTTTTTTGCTCCTAATTGCTCTTTAAAGCTGATCTTAAAATTTTGATGGACATAGTCCACATTTTATTGCTGTGGTGCGTCATGGTATACTATGTAATTAGAAGGAGTTAAAGTGTCATAATTAGAAAAACATCTTTGTGTAACTGGCTCAGTGGGGAAGACAAAAGTGAGTAATGCTTATCATAGTTTGCAGCTGGAAGAGGAAGCCTGGTCTCTAATAAGAGTACAGGTTGACTATTTGGAGAGCTTAGGACCAGAAGCTTTTCAGATTTCAGAGTTTTTTTGGATTTTGAAATAGCCACACAGATTTTACCAGGTGAGCGTCTGTATTCTGGAAATCCACATTTCAGGGCATTTTGGATTTCCAGATTAGGGATCCTCAACCTGTAATGACTATATAGAGGAAGTGATGCCTACAGCACGTGAAGGCTGTTGAACAAAGTCAGTGTTCAAATGGTAGTTAAGAAGTCTGCTCCCTGTCTGGACTGAGCCCTGGCTCCTGCACTTCTGATCCGGCCTCCTGCTCATGTGGCTCTGGGAGGCAACAGATGACGGCTCAGGTACTTGGTCCCTGCTATCTACATGGAAGACCCAGACTGAGTTCCAAGCTCCTGGCTTCAGTCTGACCCAGCCCTGAGTGTTGATGCGCATTTCGGGAGTGACCCAGTGGGTGGAAGATCTCCCTTCATTTTTCTGCCTTTCAAATAAAATGAAAACCAAATTATTTTAATGTGAGAAGATCGCATTTATTTTTGAAAAGGCATATGACATACAGCATTAGCGTATACTGTACAACTGTATTTTAGGAAATTCATATTGTCACTTTCCTTGGTCACTGTTCATTCTTTTGTTCAAAAGTCATCTATGTACAACTGATTGCTTCCTATGGACCAGACCAAAAATGTGTAAGAGATGGCGAGCAATGGGGCAGGGACAGTGTAACACAAGAAGGCACAGCACTGCGTGATGAAAACTGTATCCATAGTATTCTTA